CAGGGATCAGTTCTGGGTCCAGTTCTGTTCAATATCTTCATTAATGATTTAGATAATGGCATAGAGAGTACATGTATAAAGTTTGTGGACAATACCAAGCTGGGAGGGGTTGGAGGACAGGATTAAAATTCAAACTGATCTGAACAAACTAGAGAAAAAATATATATGGGCTGTCAAATGACTAAAAAAAACTCGCAATTAATGGCAAGATTAAAAAGAGTTGTGATTAATTGCAGTTTTAATCGCACTGCTAATAATAGAATACCAATTTTAATTTATTATAAATTTTATTATTTATTATTATTTATTATTATATATATTATTATTATATATTATTTATTATTATTTATTATTATAAATTTTTATTATAAATATTTTGGATGTTTTTCTACATTTTCAAAAATTTTACCTAGGGAGGTGGTAGAATCTCCTTCCTTAGAGGTTTTTAAGGTCAGGCTTGACAAAGCCCTGGCTGGGATGATTTAACTGGGAATTGGTCCTGCTTTGAGCAGGGGGTTGGACTAGATGACCTTCTGGGGTCCCTTCCAACCCTGATATTCTATGATTCTATGATTCTATGAAATGGTCTGAAGTAAATAGGATGAAATTCAATAATCACAAATGCAAAGTACTCCATTTAGGACGGAGCAATCAGTTGCACACACAAAAAATGGGAAATGACTGCCTAGGAAGGTGTACTGCGGAACGGAATCTGGGGGTCATAGTGGATCACAAGATTAAATATGAGTCAACAGTGTAACACTGTTGCAAAAAAGCGAACATCATTCTGCGATGTATTAGCAGGAGTGTTGTAAGCAAGACACGAGAAGTAATTCTTCCGCTGTACTCCTAGCTGATTAGGCCTCAACTGGGGTATTGTGTCCAGTTCTAGGCACCACATTCAGGAAAGATGTGAACAAATTGGAGAAAGTCCAGAGAAGAGCAACAAAAATGATTAAAGGTCTAGAAAACTTGACCTATGAGGGAAGATTGAAAGAATTGGGTTTGTTTAGTCTGGAGAAGAGAAGATGGAGAGGGGACATAACAGTTTTTAAGCACATAAAAGTTTGTTACAAGGAGGAAGGAGAAGAATTGTTCTTCTTAACCTTCGAGGATAGGACAAGAAGCAATGGGCGTAACTTGTAGCAAGGGAGGTTTAAGTTGGACATTAGGAAAAATTTCCTAACTGTCAGCATGGTTAAGCACTGGAATAAATTTTCTAGGAAGGTTGTGGAATCTCCATCATTAGAGAGTTTTAAGAGTAGGTTAGACAAACACCGATCAGGAATGGTCTAGATAATACTTAGTCCTGCCATGAGTGCAGGGGACTAAATTAGGTGACCTCTTGAGGACCCTTCTAGTCTTATGATTCTGTGTTGTAATTGAAATCAGTATATTTGAAAATGTAGAAAAACATCCAAAAATATTTATAATAAATTTAAATTGGTATTCTATTATTGTTTAACAGTGCAATTAATCACGACTATTTTTTAATCGAGTTCATTTGTTTTGCTTTATAGCTTGTGTTAACTGCGATTAATTGACGGCCCTATATGTACAAAATATACACACACATATATAATATATGTATATATTATAAAATGAATCTAGTTGCCTGCTTTTGTACAGAGATTCTAGTATTTTATTTCTAAAGGGATTGGAATAATTATTTTTAAAAGTTATTTGCAAAGCCACTGTATATAATTTTAAAAAACCACTTACCCAAAGTCCTGTGGGCCACTTGTACATTAATGTAATGTAATGGCTGTAATTTCGTAGATGGATTTCTTCTGCAACATCAAAAGAATATGGCTTTGGGAAAGCTCAGATGAGAGGTGGGAAGGAAATCCTAGGAGCTTCTAAACTAAAAATAGGACTAATGCTCTTCTAGTCTTGTCCTTTTGGACATTAGCACATACCAGTGTCTTTTATTTAAGAAATAATATTTGCAGTTCACCATTTAAAATTCCAAACTTTGTCTAAACCAACAGGGTATCTAATTTTTTTCAGCTTAACATAATTTTTCTTTTCATTTAGATATTCAACCAAAACTGCTTAACTATATTGTAGAGTATAAGGCTTAATCTTAAATGAGTACAGGATCTGTCGCACGGCCCTGTTAGGTAGCTTAAACCTACATTTTAGGCTTAATGGGTTTTCAGGTGTGTGTATTACAGGATTATAGGCGTCCAAAATATTAATATGAAAAATGTTTTCATTGTTTTAAAACTGAACTGAGAACAGTTTTTTGAGAGGTAAGTGGGGATTTAAAATATTCCTCTACTGTGTTGAGAACACAATAACATTATGCCAACATATTAGTACCAGATAGTGACAAGATTTTTAGTCTCCCCAGTCAAAATACAAAAATTAAAGACAGCATAAATATTGCAAAATAAACTAGATGTTTAAAATACTAAATTCTAGTGCAATAATCTATGGTAGTGCTAAAACCTAATATGAAACTTTTTCAAATCTCTTACGTAGATCTTGAAGGGTACAAGGCACAATCTTCATTTAATGCTTAGGGTATAACTTTTTAAGAGTTTTTTTAAAAAAATCTCTAATATTTGAAGAGCTCTTTTTTTAATACCACACAGTTTTTTCAAACAACTCATCACAAAAGATTGCTTGGCCCAGGCAGCTGGAAAGGAGGAGATTGCATACTTGGGATTTTTGTGTACTGCAAGATGCTCTTCAATGTTACTCATCAAAATTTTTTTTAATTATTAACCAAAACTCTGTACAAAAGTAGCATGTGCTCAGACTACTTCTTCTTCTTTATAATAAATGTTCTAGCTTCTCTAAAATACAGAATTTAACGCACAAAAATAATCCAACCTGCCACAATGGTATAAAAACACTCCCAAACTCATCAGAAACAAATAACGCTAAGCAGAACCCAGCTGCACCCCATTCTCTGAGAGCAGGTCTATGAATAAATAGATAAGTTCAGGTCAAAATTGTAGAGAATAGGGGAAATATCTGTATTATTTTTTTATGAATATCTCTCGTTCCTTAGCGTACCTGCTTGAGTCATAATCAGAGTCTCCCCCAGAAACTCAGAAAGTAACATAGGCCAAAATGTATGCTGAGATTTTTGCATTATTCTGACACAGATCTGCTTTGAAGAATGTAGACAATCAGGTCTGAATCTGAACAGTTTTCCAATAAACTGATTTTAAAGCAAAAACTGCCATTGTTCTAAACGTTCTACTGCAGGGGTGGACAAACTTTTTGCCCGAGGGCCACATATGGGTATGGAAATTGTATGGCGGGCCATGAATGGTCACAAAATTGGGGTTGGGGTGCAGGAGGGGGTGAGGGCTCTGGCTTGGGGTGCAGGCTCTGCAGTGGGACCAGAAATTAGGAGTTCAGGGTGCAGGAGGGGGCTCTGGTCTGGGGCAGGGGGTTGGGGCACGGGGGGGATGAGGGCTCTAGGTGGGGGTGCAGGCTCTGGGGATGAGAGCTTTGGGATGCAGGAGGGTGCTCCAAACTGGGACCGAGGGGTTCGGAGGGCGGGAGGGGGATCAGGGCTGGGGCAGGGGATTGGGGTGCAGGAGGAGGTCAGGGGTGCAGGCTCTGGATGGTGCTTACCTCAAGCAGCTCCCAGAAGCAGTGGCATGTCCCTCCTATGGGGAGGCATGGCCAGGCAGCTCTGCGTGCTGCCCTTTCCGCCAGCACTGCCCCTGCAGCTCCCATTGGCTGCGGTTCCTGGCCAATGGGAGCTGCGGGGGCACCGGCAATGTTCCGAGCCTCCTGGTTGCCCCTGCACATAGGAGCCAGAGGGGGGGACATGCCGCTCCTTCTGGGAGCTGCATGGAGCCACGCCACGCTCCCCGGCTGGAGCGGGGTAAGCCTCAGATCCTGCTCCCGGGCGGGAGCTCGAGAGCCAGATTAAAACATCTGAAGGGCTGGATGCAGCCCATGGGCCATAGTTTCTCCATCCCTGTTCTACTGTCTGAATTCAAGCTGAGACAATCTGAATTAATCAAACTTTATACTAATCAGGACAGTCACCCTGCTTGAGAACTCTTTGACATTAGAGTCTCTTCCATCACATCACAACTACTGCATATGATTTCAAGAACACTCTATGCTTCTGCCAGTGAGATTCAGAATATGATCTCTACCACTGGTGTTTTAGCCTCATTCCTTTCCACTTCCTTGGTAACAATCAAATACTTCAAATACTAATATTTATAAGTAGAAAAGTAGAAAATCCATTAAATCAGTTTCTTTGAAATTTAAATAGTCCTGTCAAGTCAAATTTATCCCCAAATGTAGCTTTTTGTAGGAATGTGCTTTTACATAATTTAAGAATATTAAAAATGTTTCCATAAACTTATTTTCCAATCGAAAGTTTAACAAGAATATGGCAGTGAAATATACTGCAGCATTGTGCTGTGTAGTGCATTAGAACCTGACTGAAATTGCCTCACACATTTAATAATCTAAGTTAGTAGTAGTAGCAGAGACAAGGAAATCTGTTTTTGAGCTATGACTTTTGAGCATTCCCAGCCAGGTGCGTCAAAAGGGAATAACAAAGTCTTCATTTGCAAAAAGTTCTGTATCCAGGGTCTCTGTTCCTCAGATTTGTTCTTGCTGGCTTTATTTAAGGCTGCTACAATTTTTGGTAACTAAAGTCATTAAAAATGTTGAACTTTATAGGACAGTGAAATTATTATTAGCGACAAAAAGACAGACATTTCAGAGACCTTCTGGAATCCAACATCTGAGATCAAGCAGCGCAGATTAACAAGATACACAGTGAAATTTGATGAGCAAGATGGCTTTGAGTCAGAGAAGTAAGTTCATGAACTATTAGCTCCTGGTCTTTTAGTTAATTACATAAAGAAGAGTATATATGCTGTTTGACAAATAAAATATGGAAGAGAGCATGACCTACTGTTAAAGCATAAGATTTGGAGATGGTGATCTGGATTTTAATTCTGATTATCCTGAAAACTTATTTTTGTGAATCTGAGCAAGTCACTTACCTTCTCTGTGCTTCAGATTCCCAGTCTGTAAAATGGAGAGAAATAACACCTTTAAATGCAACCTTATTTACAGAAGTTCCAATGTAGGAAAACGTAAATAAAATAAAACTAGCAAACACAATAATGCAGTAAATAGTAACTTTATAAATTGATCATCAATCTCATTTTACCTCTGTCAAAGCAATATTTGTAGTTATTTCTGTCATCCTGATTTTGATTCTTTCACCCTTACTACATTACTTTGCTAGACTTTGGCAACAGGTGACTCGAGCTATAACCAACAAAGATCAGACAGAAGCTACTAATGAGAAATGTGTTCTGGAGGATGCTCAGAGAAAAGCCGCCAAAGAAAGGAAACTGAAGGGTGAAGAGTGGACCTGCAAACTGTTTGAACAGGATTCAATCACCGGAGAATGGCACTACAAATATGCAGAGTGAGTGGTGGAGTGTTTTGCTTACAGTTTAAACTATTCTACATATTTAAAGGAGTTGTTACGTAGAGAAAACTTGTTTTATAGTGTCAGGATTGAAAGAACATGAAAATGTGGATGAGTCCACACTTGTCCAAGTGGTAATGAGTAGTCTTATATCTCTATTCACCTAAAGCCATTTCCACACTACAACATTAAACTTAATGTATAAACTTGCATGGGGTTGGCTTTGGATGTAGTTAGTGTCTACAAAAAGACATGGCTGATGCTCAGTTAAGTAACTGTACTGGATAGTAGTAATTTGCTGCTAAGAGGGTCAGACTGGCTCTTGTTTTTTCTTCTTACAACTAGTTCAGCGTGCTTTTTTGACAAGACCCCCTACTTGGGTCCACACAGCTCTGTTCTCCTGACAAGTGTGACACACACTGAATAGCTCACTGTTAAAGGCTTATATTGGTGCTATGCATCAGAAGGTGGAGGTGTAACTCTGCAAGTATACAAACAAATGTGAAACTTGAGTCCAGTCTTGGCACTGATCCACATCCTCAATTCCCACTGACTTCCAAGCAGTTCAGCAAGAAGAGCAATGGCAGAATTGAGCCTTTTACCAGTAGCAGTTACCACAGAATCAGCATGCAAAGTCTTCTGTTCCTTTTTCAATTGAAGTATTAATTTGTACTAAAAAGGGGGAAAAGTAAAATATTGAGGGATATTATTCCCATATAAGAATGTAGTAGGCCTGAAATCAATGTTATATCTAGCTTTGTGCTGACAGTTGGTTCCAGAGCTATATACCTTACTGTAAACTCTATCGTACATAACAAATTTTCACAACTGACAAAAATAGCCTTAAAACTTTCTACACTCCATATAAACCAGTGTTTTTCCTTGTCTTGCACTTTCAAAGAGACAAAGCAACAAGATTTTTTTCCCCCGGTTCCAGAATGTGGTATGTTTATGTAACATGTCAGGAAATCTTTAAATATCTTTTGTTATGTTACTGGCATAACAAAAAGGCTATCAAAATTGAGTGATACTCTGGCAGGCATTCTCAATAGCCAGGGTAGGGATTGACCTGTGCATGGAGTCTGAGTTATCATATCATCTTTGGGTGTATATTCCTTCCAAGTCCGAGCTGAGGCACATCAACAGGGTAATATGTGGAGGCTTACATCACTTATGCCTGTTCTCTACTCATCTTGTGAGGAGTTCTGAATCTTTTGAATGTCATACTGGCACCTTTCTCTCAAAATATTTGCTTGAAAGCTTTCCTCAACTTAACAGGAAAATGAAAATGCCTCTGATTTGTTATACAGTAACACTGTGTTCATTCTGCTTCTGTGTAGAACCAGACCATGGGATCCACTGAATGATATGATACAGTTTGAAAAAGATGGTGCCATCCAAACAAAAGTCAGGCATCGGACACCAATGGTACGTTCTGGCTTTGTAATTGTTCTCAATAAACAGTGAGGTCAGACACTTGCAAATATCAAGTTATAAATCTAGAATTCACCAAAGCACTAGCGTGGTTCTTCACCCGTGTCCTACAAAGGTGTAGTCCAGTCAGTCCCAGCCTCTCACTCTCCTGCTGTTCGCTATGTAGGAAAACTGACATAATTGGATAGGTATTGAAAGTTATGTTACCTTAATTCCACTTACAAAAAACATCCACACTTGTTTTAATTAATCTAATGTAAACCCTCCAAAACCTCTAGGATATTGTTTTCAAATATTAACTCAGGCTTCTAACACACAGCCATTATTATAATAAACCAACAGCTTTTTCACCAGAATGTTTGATTCTGTGCAGATAAGTATTTCGGTTGTGAATTGCAGGTTAGTGTTCCAAAAATAAAACGAAAGCCAACCAGTCAGTCGAAGAAAGGAGAGTGTGGATTCTCTTCCCCAGAACCTGATAACCAGGACTCCTCGGGAAGTGAAGGTAGGATAAGCTGCATCTGTTCAGCAAATTGCGTTGTTTTTCTGTTCAGTTAGACGGAGCACTGCTACAGTACAGTCATGCATTTACTTTCCTATTCTTTATTATCCCAAGATATTTGTGGTATAAAATAACTATTGGAATATGATAAGTTACAGTACTAGTGGATTACTGTGTGCCTTCATAGAAATACAAAAAATGCATAGCACAAGAAAAGCAGGTAGCCCATGGTATTAGTAGCGAGATATCTGAAACTTTCTTACATTTTATAAACATAGGGCTGTAATTTAAGTAGGCTTTACTACTTTATATAGTTAGTATTTGTGGTACAACTACTGTGTTCGTTCACTTGTTAAAAAAAGAATTAGTCTCTATATTAAGAAAGCAGGTGTTTAAATATATAGCTCATTAGGTTTATATAACAATGAAATGTGTGTAAATAATTGTTGGCACTGTTTATAATCTTAAAACTTCTGTACTCAGTTGAAAAAGATTAAACATTTCAGTTGTGGATTTCCTGTGATAGAAGTGACTGGAACAAAGCTTTCAGCAGGACCTCAAATTGGACAATTTCACCTAACTGTGTTTTCTAAATAGTTTTATCGTAGGATTAAAGGAGTTTAGATTTGGATAAATTAGTAATTCTAACCAATTGCATCTGTCTGGCATATCTTCATAGCACAACTACTAAAGCATAATACAAGAATCAGAAAGAAGGGGGCAGACCTTGGTGAACTACAAAGTGCCATTGAATCTATAAAAGAAACACAAGAAGACATTAAGAGGTAGTATTCGATGATGATATTTTAAAATATATTTTAGCGTATCAGGCTTGTTCTGCTTAAAATAAGTTAGGAATATAAACTGTTCTTATTTAATTTTCACTTTCCTGGTTTAAATATATCAAAACAGAACCTTCTGCTGAAAAATGGACATGTTTATTGTTCTTGTTGTCATTAATTCTGCTTTGTATAATGTACTCTGGAGTAGGTCAAAGAAAACGATATTGCTGCTCTAACAAGCCTGATTACTTCGTCTCGGATTCAGAAACTGGGTAGATACAGTGATTAATGCAGATCAACTTCACTGTATGTTTGTCAAATTACAAGTAGGTTTACTGGAAATAAATACCATGGGAATTCCATATATAGCACAAATGTTGGGTCACTGGATTTTTTTAGTATTCCCATTGTTTTCTGGAGTGTGTGTTTGTTTGTTTTTTTAAAGTTTCTACCCCTTCCTTATGTGAACCAATGCAGTGTTGTTTTTATGATACTGCAGAGGGATTTTGCCTAATTCTTATCATTAGCATATTAACTATGAAACCAAAGGATGACTCTTTAAATGTCAGTATGTTTACTAAAATAACCGATAGTGAAATAGTTAAGATAGCGCTTGAGAGGCCAACTTCATGCATCTCATTGCATGATTGGGTCCTAAATGTCCAAACAAATATTGAGTTTTACTTACTTGTTGGACTTCACTGTAAAGCTATTGCAGGAAGGGGAAGGCAAAAGCTCTCCGGGGATTTGAAGTTTACTCAGGGAGAGACGATATGGAGATAGCTTAATTTAAGTGGGAATGAAAGAGCTCAAGGAGGGAGAGGAATTTAAAGAACGATAACAAAAATAAAAAAATAAACTGAAATAGTCATTTCTTTAAAGCTTCTTAATAGCAGCTAACTTACTACTACGGTTGCCAATTTTGGTTAGATGCATTCCTGGAGGTTTCATCACATGGCATAATCTTTCATTAAAAATTCATCTTTAATTCCTGGAGACTCCATGACAATCCTAGTGGGTTAGCAACCCTATTTACTACACAGTTCACATAGAATTGTCATGTGTGTTGAAGAAATGTACTTAAATTTCCACAGATTTTTTAATTTTTCTGCCAAATCAAGGGAACGACCTCATTATTTTATTGATCCTAGTTACAAAGCTTTTTTAATTTTTAATTTTAAACATTCAATTTTACCTCTATTCATAAATTATAAATACCCCTTTTATATAATGTGTTTCTTGGCTGCAAAAGAGAAGTTCCGTAGATTCGATGCTGAAGAATTAACCTGATCTTAATTGCCTTCACACTACACAGCTGCATATTGGTAACTGGAAGATTATTGATTTTCAGTTGTGATATGCAGGCATTTGAAATATGTTGTACATCAAAATAAAGTTACAGACTGCTTTGCGGATGTTGGGATTAAAACAGTTATGTTTTTCTAGTAGTTTGTGTATGTATTACTTTGAGATTGACATTCTTTTTCTTTCTGCTACCTTCAATAGCCAACTACAAAACAGGGTTTGCATTATTTAACTCAGGGGTCAGCAACCTTTGGCACTCGGCCCATCAGGGTAATCCACTGGCGGGCCACGAGACATTTTGTTTACATTGACTGCCACAGGGACGTGCTGGCTGCCGCTTCCCGCAGCTCCCATTGGCCGGAAACGGCAAACTGCGGCCACTGGGAGCTGTGGGGGGCCATGCCTGCAGATGGTCAACGTAAACAAAATGTCCTGTGGCCCCCCCACCAGATTACCCTGTTGGGCCGCATACCGAAGTTTGCTGACCCCTGGTTTAACTGAAGAGAATGTGTTGACTAGTATCTATTGAACATGAAGGAAAATGCAATTCTTGACTATGTTTCTG